AGAGATGTTGCGTCTGCCGAGAACTAAAAAAAATAAATAAATATTAAAAAATTCTCTCTCTCTCTCTCACTCTCTCTTTAAAGAAAAAAAAAGAAAATCATGAATGTTACACCATGCGAGTTGTATCTCAATACAGCTGTTATTTTCATTTTTATTTATTTGGTATTGGGACGGAACTCAGGGGAGCTCCACCACTGAGCTACATCCCCACTCCTTTTTATATTGAAACAGGCTCTTGCTAAGTTGCCCATGCTGGTCTCCAATTTGAGATCCTTCTTCCTCAGCCTCCCGAGTTACTGGGATTGTAGGCATGCACCGCTGTACCCGCCTGGCTCTAGTTGTTATTTTAAAAAGTCAGGGCTGGGGTTGTAGTTCATTGTAGAGCACTTACCTAGCACGCGTGAGGCACTGGGTTCCATCTTCAGCATCACATTAAAAAAAAAAAAGTATAAATAAATAAAGTTCTACCTGTTGTTACAAATTAAAACCATAGTTGCTTGTAAAAATAGCCCTCAATCTCACTCTTAGAATTAATCACTGACAGAATGTGGACATGAATCATTTTTTCCTGATGTTTAAAATTCTCTCTATGTGCATAATATAATATATATAATATATATTTATGTACCTAAATGTATATATTATTTATGTAGGCTAGCCTGAATGATTTAGCAAGACAGTCAAACAAAACAAAAAACTGGGATCCTATCATACCTATCACATCACAGCTTGCTTTTTTCCCTCTTTTTTTGAGTATGTATTTCCATGACATTATTTTAAAGCCATGGAGTCTGGCTGAGCAACCAGGCTGGTCTTGTGCCCCTGGGCCCAAGTGATCCTCCTGCTTCAGGGACTCTAGGTGCTCCCCAACCTTCCCAGCCCTTCCCATGACATTCTTTTTCTGCTTTTTGACTAGGTATTGAACCCAGGGGCAYTCAACCACTGAGCCACATCCCAGCCCTATTTTGTAGTTTATTTAGAGACAGGGTCTCACTGAGTTGCTGATTGTCTCGCTGTTGCTGAGGCTGCTTTGAACTTGTGATCCTCCTGCCTCAGCCTTTAGAGCTGCTAGGATTATAGGCGTGCGCCACCATGCCAGGCCAATGACATTTTTTTTTAACAGCTGTGTATTTTTTTTTTTTATCCGTCTAACTGTGCTGAAACGTAACTACCCAGTCCCTTACTAAAGAACATTCACATATGCTCAGAAGGCTGAGGCAGGAAGATCGCAAGTTCCAGGCCAGCCTAGGTAACTTAGCAAACCCTGTCAAAATTTGAAAAGGGCTAGGATGTAGCTCAGGGTAGAGTGCTTGCCTGGGTTTGAACCTCAGCACCTCCATACTCAGGCCTCTTCCCAGTGCTTTGTTGTCGGTGGGTAATAAACCATCTGTCTCGAGCTGGGGACGGAACCCAGGGCCTCACACATGCTAGGCCAGCGCTCCACCACTGAGCCGTTCGCCCTGCCCAACCATAAATGTCTCAGCATGTAAGTCGCAGGGCCCTGGATGGCACTTCTAGACACAGTGCTGGAAACAGGTGGGCCAGCGMATCACCGGGGGGCAGGTCTTCACCTTCTATAGATATTGACGTTGGACCTCGGGCAGGCGACCTCCAGTAAGTCAGAGGCAAAGAGTAGATGGTGGAAGAAAGGTCAGGTGGGCATCTGCTGTCACCCCCAGAAACACRTATCTTTGTCCCCAAACCCTCCCCTCCCGCTTCATGGTGCTTCTTTCCTCTCTTTCCCCCTGGTCCTGGGGGTCAAACCCAGGGCTCTGAGTACACTATGCTGGGCGAGCGCGCTACCACTAAGCCGTATGCCAACTTACTTCCTCTCCCTTTTATTTCTCTGAAACTTACCTTTGGATCCGAGTGTGAAAATAAATGTGAGCCGCAGTCCTGATCACGTGCACTCGTCATTCTTAGAGTTGAGGAAATGTCAGCTTTCTCCACCCACAATCGGTGCTTTCTTTGTTCCTTTCTTTTTGGTACCAGGGATTAAACCCACTGAGCCACATCCCCAGCTCTTTTCAGTTTTTATTTAGAGACAGGRTCATTGCTAAATTGCTTAGCCTGGCTTTGAACTTGCCATCCTCCTGCCTCAGCCTCCTGAGCCCCTGGGATTACAGGCGTGCACCCCCACACCTGACTAATGGGTTCTTTTTCCTCTTGCCTTCACTTCCTCTTTCTCAACTCTCTTGCAGAGTGTGTTGGCTGGAAGAAGGGTAAGCGGAAGAAAAGTACAGCCCGCACCTCCCACCCAGACCAGCAGACTCCTCTTGGCTTCCTGCTCCTGGGCTTCCTTTCCCCTTGCCCTTACCTGGCCAGACGCAGAGGCAGCTCCCTCACCTGACTAGTCTGCACTTCCTTGCCAGGACCCTGCTCCCCAAGTGCGACATCTGAACTGGGAAGAGGCAAACCTCTCACCGCTTTTGTGTGTGTGTGTGTGTGTGTGTGTGTGTGTGTGTGTGTGTTTGTGTGTGTGTGTGTGTGTGGTATTGGGGACAGAACCCAAGGTCTCACACATGCTAAGCAAGTGCTCTTCCACTGAGCTCAACGCCCAGCCCCACTTACTGACAGTTAAAAACAAAACAGAAAAGCACTGAATTAAGGATCCAAGTCCCTCAATCCTAATCCTGAAATTATAGCCTGACTTCAGGCAAGTGGCTGGACTTGCCTGCCTGTGGCTTCTGGCCTTCCCTGTGAATACGGACCCGCCTTCCACCTACCTGAACCCTGGATTCAGTCTGCCCTGCATGTTCATGTCCATTATCTCACCTGTTTATTCACAACCCTGGGAGGCAGACAGAGCAAAGATTATCATCCCCATTTTACAGGGTATGAAATTGAGGTTCACAGGGGTGAGTTATTTGGCCTGCAGTCACCCAGCTGTGGTCACACAGCTGTGGTGATAGAGGTCCTTCCTTCAGAGTCTGGTGAGCTGACTCAGACCAATTTTATAAAGCCCACAGGGTTAATGGGGCCCAGAGGGCTGTGCTGTATAAGCTGTTATTATGGAAATGGGAGGCATCCAAGTCAGATCAGGAGCCCCTTAGGACAGGGGTACAATCCCTTCTGGGAATTTTCTTTCTTGGGAGGTGCTGGGGAGGGAACTCAGGGCTTTGTGCATGCAAAAGATGTGCTCTGCCACTGATCTACATCCCCAGCCCCTCCTGGGTTGCAATGAGTGTACTAGTTGGAAGACCAAGGTCTAATATCAGATTCCTGAGTCTAAGTTCATGATTTACTTATTTTAGTTGTAGAGGGACACAATACCTTTATTTTTATGTGGTACTAAGGATTGAACCCAATGCCTCGCACGTGCTAGGTGAGCGCTCTACTGCTGAGCCACAACGCCAGCCTCCTACGTTCATGATTTAATGGACGGACGTATCTGGAACTTTGATTTCCTGGGAGCTGCTTTCCACAGGGGACAGGACTGGTGGAAGGAAGCTCAGGGCTGGTGAGGAGCCAAGAGGGCTGGCTGGGCATTTACATCCCGGCAGCCCTTTACTTAGTGGCCTGAGAATCCACCTTCTAGGCCAAGATAGTGGCCTTCCAGCTTTGGACAAGCCCAGGGGTGTGAGGCTGTTCAGGCTAGCAAGCTGGGGTCCCCCGGCTCTGGGTCCTGGATCTGTGGACTTTGAGGTGAAGGAATTCCCCAAGTTTCTCTTTCCCTGACAATTGGCCCAAAAAGGCTCAGATGACAAGTTGGGTACAAAAGGTTTCAATTTATCTCATCACATGCTTACCAGGTACCAGGTACCAATAATTAGAATGTAGGGGGATCAGGCATGTTACATTTCCATCCTCTAATTCACCTTTTAAAGCAGAAATGGTCCCCATTTTCAAGAAATACGGGAGTTGAGATTCAGGCAGGCCCAAGATCACGTGTTGGAGGAAGGGGGAAAACCAGGATCTGAGCCTGGGGTTAATATGACTCCCAAACCCAGATGACTAAGACCTGTTCCTTCTCTTGGAAGGTGGTGACAGACCCTTCCAACTAGCCATGGCACTGGTCAGAGTGACATCACTGCCTGCAGCTGATCATCTGCCTGCCTGTGGTCATCAGAGGCTTGGGGGAGGGGTCCTCTGAGTTTTGAAGGGACCAGCAGATGGATAGTGGGCTGGGGAGCTTCCAAAGCCAGATGTGAATGGCCTGCCTGGGCCTGCTTCCCATAGGTCCCTCCAGGGCAGCCGGTTCACTGCCACTCTAATCAGGGCCAAGAGACCCCAGAGGGGTGTGGGAGTCCCCTGAGCTGGCACAGGGCTCGTGAGGGGAACTGTGCAGGAGCAGCTGTAGGGCTCAGTCCTCTCACTGCACGGACACCTGGGTAGAAGGTGGCGATCGATGGGGTTTCCCCGAGGCCAGAATGGCTGGCTGGTGGCCAGGGGCGCTCTACAGTGGTGGGATGGGATGGGGAAAGGTGGTGGCCCTCTGGGAGTGGGTGGGCTTTGGGGTCTGCCGGGAAGCTGCCTCAATAAAGTTGCAGGCGGGGTCGGGTGGGTGGGGTCTTTGAGAAGTCCGCGGACCGTCGGGAGCGGGGAGGGAGGCGTCCCCGGTACCGGGAGGCGGGCTGGGGAGCGGCGGGGCGGCGGCGGGTCGCCCCGGGGCTCGGGGAGCGGGAGCGGGGCTGGCGGGCCGGGGCGATGGGGCGAGGCCGGGCCGAGGAGGGGGCCGCGGCGGGGGCGGGGCGGCGGCGGGGTGGGGCGCCGGCCGCCTCCCGCTCCCCGGCGGCGCGGGCGGGGACGCAGGCGACGGGCGCCGCGGCCGGCCCACAATGAGGGCAGCGGGCCGCGGTGAGTAAGCCGCGGCCGGCCGGGCCGGGCCACGCGGGCGGCGGCTCTCGGGCAGGTCGGGGCAGGCCGGCGGGCGGGGCGGCGGGGAGCCGAGCCCGGGCCGCGCCGCAGCCAGGAGGACGCCGAGGCCGCCCGCCCGCCCGCCCGTCGCGCCCGAGCCGCAGCCGGAGCCCGAGCCGCAGCCGGAGCCCGAGCCGCAGCCGGCCATGGCGGGGCCGCGGGGCGCGCTGCTGGCCTGGTGCCGCCGCCAGTGCGAGGGCTACGGCGGCGTGGAGATCCGCGACCTGAGCAGCTCCTTCCGGGACGGCCTGGCCTTCTGCGCCATCCTGCACCGGCACCGGCCCGACCTGCTGTGAGTGGCGGGGCGCGCGGGGCGGCGGGCGGGGCGGGGACCGTCACCCCCTCAGTGACGCGGCGGCAGGCGCCGCCCTGGGACGCAGACCCCGACCGGGCCCACGGCTCTGGACGCCGGAGACCCCCGACCCGGCACCCCTCCCCCACCGAGCCGCGACCCCCCCCGCTGGGACGCCAGCCCCGGCCAGCCCCGGCCAGCCCCGGGGCGCTGACCCGCGCCACCCGGCAAGGTTTCCGCGAAAGGACGCCGAGCCTCGCAGGCCCTGACCCTGCGAAGGAGCGCTGAGCCCCACCTTGGGGACCTGGGCGTCTTTTACCCTAAACTCCTTTCTAGGGACACACAGAGTCCGCCTTTTCCCTACTGGTGCCCAGGACGCACCACCCCAGAATCTGACTGTAGGAGATCAGAATCTGTCACCCCAAGATAGACTTCTTCCGCAGGCTTGAGCTGATCTGAGAAATGGCAGACTCTGGGGTCGCCCGGTCCTTTTGTAAAAGAAATTCACACATTAGGGAAATCAGTCTGTAAGGGGATCCGCCAGAGTAAAGCGTCTCCCTGGGAGGAAGGCTGCTGGGGACTGCTGGCTGCCGGAGAGACCTTCCCTGCTCGACCTGACCTTCGCTCGCCACACAATTCCTCCCCTCCCCCAGCCCCAGAAACCCCAGCCCTAGTTCCTTGCTGTCTCTGGATGCTATAGAAGCTTCAATCCCACTCTAAGTTCTTAGAGCCCCATATTTTATGGGACTCAAGGCTGACATATGTCACTAAGTATAGTTTCTCTTTTGTTTTGTTCAACTATTTTATGTCAATTTAATTCATAGGCCAGGCAAGAATCTAGAAGGGTGGAGGGAAGCCATCCTCTTCCCCCACACTTGCATAAGGCACTGAGGGCTGATCACCCTGTCGGGCCACTTGCTCTGGAAAGACCAGTGAACTCTCACTTCTGATGCCCCAATGCACCATTCAGGCACAGAGGAGCCCCTAGATGAATGAATGATTGCTGGATAACAGGAGGCACACCATGCCCCCAAACACCTCCCCAATTAGGAATCAGGCCTGCCTTCCCAGTGTGTGCCCTGCACCCCTATTGTCCTCAGCAGGGCATGAGGTGGGCTAGAGAAGAGTCAGGCATGTGCCTTGTGCACAAGTTCCCATTGAGAACCGTCAATCAGCTTTTCGAGGTTTTGAAGTGACCCCTTCCTGCCTGGAGCTGCCCAGTGAGGTTCTAGTAGGAAAATGTATTCAGTCCCCCTGAGCAATTGGCTTGGGCTGCTGCCTCAACCCTCTCTGTTGGCCTGAACCCTGGAATCTCTTCCTTYCTTTCACTTATTCATTCATAAAACAATAAGTGAAAGTTTATCTGGTGCTCACCATTTCTTTTGCTTTTGGTCTCAATTGCAAATTTTGAATTGAAGTCCTGGTTCTTAGTTCTCTGTGCTTACAGCCTGCTGGCAGGACCCCCTCCTGCTCCAGCCTGGCAGGGCCTGGAGTCTTTCTGTGCTCTTTCACCCCGAATCTGCCCTGGCAGGGCTCTGAAAGGGTCACCCCAAGAATCAGATGGTACATGCACCCAGTTTACTCTGTGCCTTGTGGCACTGTGTCTGTGGAGATGGGCTGGGCCCAGGAGGAGAGGGTTTTGGGGGTATCAGTATAGAAGGGAACAGATGAGGTGGTGACATAGGTGGCCTGCTGCCCTCCGTGGAGCATGTGACACTCTACTTGTGGAGTTCAGGAGCAGGGGCTTGAGGTGGAGGAGAAGGGGCTGGGACTGGACCCTGTGTTGGAGCAGAGGCTGGAGGGGTCATCTCTTTTGGCTGGAGACCAGTGGTGAGGCATAGGACAGGGACCAAGCCTAGAGCAAGAATGGACTTGGGTGTCAAGCTAACCTGTTTGGTGGCCCTGAGCCTGTTGGCATCCAAGTGAAGGCTCCCTGGTTCTTAGGTTTAGGAAGTCTTTGGGTTCCCCCAGGCATCTCTGTAAGGTGGGATTGATTCATAAGAATAATAGGGATTGTTTTGAGGATTAAATGAGATAATAAGCATGCAATTAACATTAGTTATTATAAGTGGTGTTATTAGGCAGCCGGGGAGGATGACGGTGATTTTACTCCTTCATCCAACAAGTACTTCTAGAGTTGTCTTTGCTGGACACTGTACAGGTAGTAGAGACACCAACCAACAAACCTCAAAACAACTGGATGTGGCAGCACACACATGTAATCCCAGCGGCTTGGGAGGCTGAGACAGGAGGATGGCAAGTTTGGGGCCAGCCTCAGCAACTTAATGAGGCCTTGTCTCAAAAGAAAAGTAAAATGGCTGAGGATRTGGCTCAATAGTTAAGCACCCCTGGGTTCAATCCCCAGTAGCGGGGGAAAAAAAAAAGATTGTGTGGAGGAGAGAGTGACTTCTCTCCCAAGAAGAAATCCAGAACCAAACCCAGCCATTAGTTTGCTAGGGAAGCCAGGCCTTAGTGAACAGCCAGTTGCACAGGAGAAGAACTGAGGCCCAGGCCCCACGGGGGAGAATGATGGGTAGGGATGGGTCTCCGTGAGCCAAGGTGTGGGGCTGGGGGTGAGGCCAGAACCGCCTTGTACAGTGGCGCAGGGCAAGGCCGGTATTGTCCAGTGGTTTTAGCTCCTGGCACTGTGAGCCCTGCCAGGGTGGACCMGTGCTGGCCCTCCCCTCCCCATGCACACATTGCTGAGCTCCCTTGAAGCCAGGGACCATGTGGATTTCACTTTTRTTTCTTTGTCTCCCCTAGAGTCTAGACCTTTCCAGGTGTCACAGACAAGGAGACTGAGTGAAGGGGGTTAAATGACTTGCCTAAAGTCACCCACAGGAGACTTAGTGAAGCAGCTGAGGGTCGAGGCCAGAGTTGGCCAAGGGGATCAGAGCTGGTGCCTGGCCCCCGCCCATGAGCCCCGCCAGGGTTCGCCCGCAGCCCTTCCGTGCCTTCCCCCCGGGGTCCGTGGTCCCTGGACACTGCCTCGGAAAGTGTGGGGTGAGGGGCCGTGGGCTGCTTGCCTGCTCCCTTGCRTCTGGGGGSCYKKCCCYYMMCMARSCCMRG